ATTTAATAAAAATAAATAAATAAATAATTTAATAATTAAATAAAAATTAATATTTATTTTATGTGTCAGTCTACTATACTAGATTGCCCCTACATGAATACAAAAATAAGCAATGATTTAAAAGGGTAGAGCACAAAAGGGTCTAATTTTTTGTTTTCAGGATTAAAATTGATTTTGTAACTTTGCACTTTTTACCCTTTGTTTTGTGAGTCATTAAGATTTTGGGAAACATTCCTTGTGAAGGGAGATGTCCTCAGGTTTGCCACCCTCCGCAGAGGTCCTCTACCCTCTACCATCACCCTGTGGCATCTGTTTTCTTCACTAAAAACTACAGACATTTCTGCTGGCACCTCTAGAAGGTGCAGAAAGCTGTTTGTGGGGTTGCGCTGCTCTGGGCACTCCTGGCTCCCAGGTGCTAGAACTTTCCCCAATCCTCTTTCACAATACCAAACACTTCCAAATATGACATCATTTTCATTGGCAAAGAAACTTTTCCAACCAAGTTCTCTTCTCTCTCTTCCTCAATCTCTTTCTCTCTTCCTCTCCCTCTTTTTCTCTCTGACTAGCTGTATTCAAGGTCACAGTATCCAAGCACTGTTATTTTTAGGCATAGAATTAAGGTCTTTTTTTTTAAATCATAAATCAATTTAGTTACCAAAACTATGTCCTTTCAAGTGCAAAACAGGTGATTTGATCATCAATTATTGTTTTTAATGTCTCTGAACAATTAGGGAAATATTGCTTGCTCTCCAGTCAAGTGGCTGTCAAAGTGTTACTAAATAAAGTACTAAGGCAAAATCCTATAGATAGAAGGAAAGGTCACCATCCTACTGAGATGAAACCCTCGGGTTGATGATTTTGGGGTTTTTTTTGTCTTCTTTTTTTTAAAGTCTTTTTGAGACACAGTCTCCCCACAGCCCCACTGTCCTGGAACTCACTATGTAGACCAGGCTGGCCTTGAACTCGGAGATCCACCTGCCTCTGCCTCCTGAGAGCAGGGATTAAAGGTGTGCGCCACTATGCTCAGCTAGGTTGGTGAATTTTAAACCAGATGCTACATCTCATGAAAAGATGCCAATAAACTGTTCACACCAAAGTTATTCAAGAATGTTTTACAGATGATGACCTTTTCTTATTGCTCCACAGTCCATCTCTGAGTTAAAAAGTAAAAAAAAAAAAAAAAAAAAAAAAAAAAAAAAAAGAGTATCTTAAAGGTTGTGGCTACTCACTTTGGTGGGTCCATTTCCATTAATTGCTACTGGTAGTGTTTCATAAAATGTATTCTTGACTCTGGTTTTTCCATTTTCAAACTTTAAAACAACTTCATCTGGGTTAAAGAGAAAACAAGTTGTAGTGACTTCAAACATATGTGGGTCTGTGGATTTCCCAGATACATAGCCACATTTTACAAGACACAGAAGCCTTCCCTCTCCAAGTCAGTATGCAACAAAACTGAAGGACAGTAGGGACCAACACAGGGACTGATCTGAATCAAATGCTTGGGCACTAAGTCAGTGGTCAGGGGGGACAGAAGCAGCTTTGCAATGCTGACCTGAGCCCTTGGTGACTGTGGTACCCGCCAACTTCCAAACTCGTTTTGGTTAGATTCAGCCCAGCCTTATAAAGAGAGCAACGTGCACATGGGTAGACACAAGGCCCACAAAAGCAAGGCTTTCACAAGGGACTGCCCATCTGGACTAAACACTAAGCCTCCTGTGACAGTTCAGAAAGGCGTGGGGCACGGTTATGTTCAAGGTTCCCGTCTTCAAGATCTGAACACAGCAACCTGTACGCCCCCCATCCCATCAGGCTCACTGTGCACTGCACTGATGAACTACATGTACTGACTACAGCATGTCTGAATTTTTAAAATACTAACACATTCACAGATCGAGGTAATTTAATTTGGGGGATTCTGACTAGTTACACTAACGTATTTCACTGACAGGTTTCTCTAAGGAAATAACACATGTGAGTGTACTCACAAGCATGTACGTGCACACACTCACTTTTCCACAATCCACACAAGTGGGTGTCATCAGTGACCATTCAGCTGAGTGAAAGGGACAACCCTAAAACTCCCAGGTAACTCACCACCCAAAGAATTTACACAGCCGTGTGTCATAATGACATGCAATTAACTCCTAACTTCCCACCCAATTATAAGTGACCCAAGGCCACAACTTAACTTTTTCACTAGGGAAAGGATTTGACTAAAGGATATGGAAGCACACAGTTGAGCGCATCGTGTTTCATGGTCTATAACATTTTAAAGGTTGCAGCCTGAGTCACGCCCCAAAATGGATATGACAGGAAAAACTAAGCTGAAGATGGGAGCTCACTGTGCACGGGGCACAGCAGCAGTCAGCGCGCACCTACGGCGCCATTCAGGGCCTGGAAAATTTTGCATTTGTGATCCAACGTGATGTTAAAGGCTTCCTGAAACACAAGAAAAAAAGTAACACTGAAAATGGCAACAAAACCATCAAACAACATAGTGGTATTAATGTACGGTGTTCTTTGCAGGAATTTACACCTTAAAACACAATACTTCAGTGTTTAATGAAAGCATTTTGATATCTAAGACAGACACCACTGTGGGTACAAATCACTGTGGAATACTCACACCAACCCTGAATTCCTAATGATAGCACACATGTACACCCCCCCCACACACACCAAACTTGTGTTCCTAGTGACGGCACACATTCACTCAGACCTTGTTTCCCTGGTGACAGCACACATACACTCACTCAAACTTTGTGTCTCTGGTGATAGCGCACATACACTCAGATCTTGTTTACCTGCTGATGGCATACACAAACACAAATCAATAAATAGTACAGTTGCATCTTCAGTATACAAAACATGAAACATTATTTTCTATTATTTAAATATGATTTTCTGCAGTTACAGTTTACTTTTCTCCAAATTCACACTTAAATCAGTCTCTGGAACTTGCGCTCCAAAGCCTGTGGCAGACTAAATTATAACAAAACTCTGGTTTTCAGTATGGCTCACACATTTGAAAAGGATAAAATGTCCTTCATATGTTATGTATTGTATAGTCACATAATAATGCTCTTGTCGCAGAAAAGTGAAAGAGTAAAAAATTTAAAAAAAAGTAAGCCGAGCGTGGTTGTGCATGCCTTTAATCTCAGCACTTGGGAGGCAGAGGCAGGCAGACCTCTCTGAGTTCGAGGCCTGCCTGGTCTCCATAGTGAATCCGGGACCGCTGGGGCTACAGGGAGACCCTGTCTCAAAAAGACCAATAATAATAATAATAATAATAATAATAATAATAATAATAATAAAATGTAAAAGAATTTTGTGAGCCTTCCAGAAAGACCTAAAGAGGGCGAGATGCACCAATGGCTCATTATTTTCACTATTCTGACTTTTAGCTACCCAGACTATGACAGTAATGGCTGGAGCACCAGCAGTCATTCTGTCTAAGGAGGGCACATGAAAATACCAGCTCCAGGCTAAGTGCAGAGCAGCAAAGGGCACTCTCGCTTGGTGGCAGCTCAGCGCTGCTGTCGTGCTGAGCACCGAGCCATCTCTCCACCCATAGTACGTTTTCAATCCCTACGAATAATCTATGATGAAAACAATCAGTGACATAACATTTCCCAATGATTTATATCACTGTCTTTAAAAAACAACTTCCTCATCACTGTTCTCTAAAGCCAAATCCCATCTGCTCCCACCTCTTTTCTTACTTGAATGAGAGGAAAATAAATACACATATAAAACCAGCACACTGTGTAAAAATGCCTTGTCTGATGTTGCCTCTGATTTCCCGGCTCCGAAGTTACTGACTACACTCGCTGTGGTACTGAAAACGCCTGAGGAGTGCTTTGGGTAGGCGTGCATGCTGGCCAGGGGCCGGCGCCCTGGTTCCTACTAAGTGGCTTTGATGTATGTCTCAACTACAGAAAAGAACAGGATCTTACATGTACTTTTCCCCTGACCACCCAAGTTTGGCAAAGGTTCTGACGTGGCCACCGAGAGGCTCAGAGACACATTTAGACAGTGCTGACGCCCGAGCCGGAGAGAGCAATGTCACCTGCTCCTTGGTGTCTTTCACTCACTTGAAATACCTGAAATGTGACGTTCAGCTTTCAACCGGATCATCACCAAAATCCTGTGTTTCTGACCTCCCGCAGTAGAAAATATAGAGATCAAAGCAAACCAAAACAGTAAAACAAAGAAACCACAGGCCATTCCTTACCCTCTTTGCTGGGTCAATGTAGATTTTAGTGTAAAAGAGCTGGTCATCATCATTGTCCTGCAGATTCCACTGCTGGACTATTCGGTTGATGTAGGGTGCGTAGCCAATGAACCCTGCGACACACAGAATCGTGGACCAGGTCAGCGCCACTGAGCAGCTGACAAAGTCCAGACGTTGAAGTCTAATCCATAGGCTTGCATTCACAGCTCTCCATGAAAGCAGTTTGAATTATCAAGTGCCCCTGTCTGACCACCGTGTGTGTGTGTGTGTGTGTGTGTGTGTGTGTGTGTGTGCTTGTGTGTATGCGTGTATCACATATAAGCTAACTGGCAGGCTGTTAATACCAACTAAAAGTACAAAATAACCAAAGATGCTTTTAAACAATACCTAAAGCTAAGTGACACACCAGGCTAACTTTTCCAAGGCTACAGAGGAAAGGCTTACTAAGAAAGGAATAGTGTAAGACAGAATTTTCCCTCTGCCCTTCTGAAATGGTCCTCTTGGAACCACTGCAAAGGAGTCACTGTTTCCGAAAGCAGGAAATCTATCCTGCACTGCCAGAGACGCTAATGCACTCAAGGGAATGCGGGTTGTCACCGACTACAAAAATCCTCAAGAAATTTTCTATCTTGGACATCTGGGGCACTTTTTCCATTATTTGAACCAGTCTTATTGTGCCTGCCAAACCATTTTCTGGCCATTTTGTATGTCATTGTCTGGAAAGAGGAAGTCTAAAACTGGAGTGTTCCCCTTGGCCTTCCAGCCTACGCAATGGCTCTGCCAACGGTGCCTGTCTATAAAAGACAAAGACAGCAGGATCATTTTACCCATCTCGCCCTGAGTTTCAAACATGCAGCCAGCTGCTCTGATTCACCGACAGACAATACTCGTCGCACACAGGCACAGTGAACTACTGTGAAATCAAACCTAATGTTTTTCCCGCGACATGAACACTTCCTCATAGGAATAAAAGAATTAAAAGAAATAGGTTGAGAAGCATGTGGTTTCCTAGAGAAAATACAACTAAACCAACCACTGTCACTCAATCTTGGTCGGGCGTGGTGGCGCACGCCTTTAATCCCAACACTTGGGAGGTAGAGGCAGGGGAATCTCTGTGAGTTCGAGGACAGCCTGGTCTACACAGTGAGTTCCAGGACAGCTGGGGCTACAGGGAGACCCTGTCTCAAAAAGACAAAACAAAGGTCCTTAAGCATTAAAAAAAAAAAACAAAAAAAAAACAATTATTTTCTTAGGATCTATTCATTTTTATTTTATGTGTATGTGTGTGTGCCTGCTTGTCTGTCTGAGCACCCCATGGAGGCCAGAAGAGGACATCAGATCTCCCTGGAGCTGGAGTTACAGGTAACTGTGAGCTACCCAATGTGGGTGCTAGGAACAACCCCAGGTTCTCTGCAAGAGCAGTAAGCACTCTTAATGACTGAGCCTAACAATACCTCTTTAATTTCTATGAATAATTTATGTTGAAAAAAATTAGTAACATGTCCTAATGTTATATTACTGACTTCTAAAAAAACTATCATTCTTCAAAATCCAAATATTTTTAAGTAAATGAAATTATATTCATATGCATTCACAGTATACAATTTACACTTTTTATTAAACTGCTTTTAAGGCTAATGCTTTTTACTAAGTCATAACTCATGTTCCTTAAATATCTCTTCACATATCTGCCTTGAAATGACACACACTTGGACTGCATATACTTATGTGTTTTCTGCATTCTTGTTAATAATCCTGACCATAGGTGGAAGCTTAGTGCTTTGATATCCTAGTAGTCTCTGCATTAAAACACTGACAACTGCACTTACTTGCTAATAATATCTGTCATTTCCACAGTCCTGTGAGTGTCTCTGAAATTCAGTCACCTTAGGAGCTGTATCACTGTATCACTGTCTAGATAAACTTCTACAACAGGATTTCTTGTGCATTCCAATTTCAAGGAAAATTATTTAAATGCAAAATAAAACCGAATCCTAAGTTCCACAGCTATATATTTCCTTTAAAATTACCTTTTCAAAACTACCTAGAATATGGATGCTCCCTATATTGTGACTGGGGGCCTGATGGTTCAGAGCTTGGGGCAGGGGAGCAGCACCAGACCGGGAGCAGAGTCCCAGGTGGCAGCTAGCTTGGGGGCAGGACAGTGAGGACACCAGAACTAATACAGCAAATCCACTGAGTGAATACAGGAGTGACATCCTGATGAGGCAAGAAGGTTGGGAAGAAGCACCAAGGTCAAGAGGTTCCAAAGGCACAGACATTGTCTATGGGGACAGAGAGAAAAAGGAGCTGAGCAGTGCAAGCAGACGCCTGAGCTGACTTCCGAAGCCCTAAGGCATGACTGTGGGGTGCACTGTTAAAATAAAGCACAGGTGGAAATGATGAACTTCAGACACCACACACACCTGCTGACACCTCAAACAGCACTGATGGAACTGTCTGAAAAGCATCTGCTACACACACAGACCACTACAAAAATCTATTTTCCCACGTGGCTTGCAAGTGACCCTAACATTTCTGTAGCATGCTGCAATATAAATTATATTGGTAAACTCTAGGAGGCAGGAGGAGGCCCTCAGCTTTCTCAGATTCAAGCATGTCATGTCAAGGGTTCTCCAAAACCTCATCCTGTGCCAGGTGTCACCTCTGGCTCTGAAATGGGAAGAGTGAAAATCATCAAGCAGCTAAGTGTATAGGAAACACTGTTTCTTTGAATAGCTAGAAGGTAAACTATTTCCAAAATAGGACTACTGTGCATCATGAAACCTAAAAATACCTGCAGCAGAATGAGGAAGACTGAAGCTCATGGATGGACTCTCATCTCCAGTTCCGTATCTTTGCTAGCTCTCACACTCAGGCTGTGCCAGGCATCTGTTAGAGGCTATACTGCCTGATTTGATGGTGTTTTGGTATTTATTTGTAATTCCTGATTTGATGATGGCTTGCTATCTTTTTTTTTTTGGTTTTTTTTTTGATTAATTTATTTTTATTTTATGTGTATGAGTGTTATGCTTGCACAACGTGTAAGGGCACCCGTGTCATGCAGTGTTCACAGAGGTCAGAAGAGGGCAACAGATCCCCTGGAACTGGAGTTACAGGCAGTTTAGTTAGTCACCATGTGGGTGCTGGGATTCAAACCCCATTCTTCTGCAAGAACAGCCAGTGCTCTTAACTGCAGAGCCAGCTCTCCAGCCCCATCTTGCTATCTATTTGTAATGCCCAATTTGATATTTTGCTATTTACTGTAATGCCTGACTTGATGGTGTTTTACTATCTATATGTAATGCCTGATTTGATATTTTACTATTTGCTGTAATACCTGATTTGATGATGTCTTGCTATCTGTTTGTAATACCTGATTTGATGATGTCTTGCTATCTGTTTGAAATGCCTGATTTGATGGTGTTTTGCTATGTATTTGCTGCATCTACCTGCTACTTGTTTTTTAATTTTGGTTTTACATGCTATATAAACGCACTCATTTTATACTCAAAGTACAGTATCGTAGCTGATGTTCCAGACACCCAGAACATATGTCCTTCATCCTATTTGGTTAGGCCTTCTGCCTAAGGGAAGCATATTCTACAGTCATAATATGTCCAAAGTAAATTTAACTTTATCTCTAATGGATGGTATATGATTGTTATTTAATCTGTGGTAGTTCACATAGAAAATATAACACTTCAGTACTACTTAGTACTATTCAGATAATCACTATTTAAATTTTTGGGCACAAATAAAATGAATCAAAAAAAATTTTAAAGGGAGGTGTTGGACAGACGGTTTGGCACCTCGTCCAGGTATCCCAATATTCTCTCTACATTAAACCACTGACAGTTGCACTTACTGGCTAATAATATCTGTCATTTCCACAGAACTGTGAGTCTCTCTGAAATTCTGTCACCTTAGAAGCTATATCACTGTCTAGAAAAACTTTTACAACAGGATTTCTTGTGCATGCCATTTTCAGGGAAAATTATTAAATGTAAACTAAAATCTAATCCTAAATTCCACAGCTCTACATTTCCTTTAAAATTCCCTTTTCAAGGAATTTTCAGTTCCCAGCATCCACATGGTAGCTGACAAACATTCATCTCTGCAGTTCCAGAGGATCTGATTCCCTCTTCTGGCTCTATGGGCACTGCATGTATGTGGTGCATACACACATGCAAGAAATATTCACACACATAAAATAAAAATAAAACAAAAAATTTTGGTCACAATATAAATCATTAAGTTCAATATATTTGAAAAAATGATCACATTAATAAATGGCCTTTTTAAATTATGTGATTCTAGATTGAAAATGAACTTTTTCAAAGTAAACTTTGAATTAAGCTCTATGTCCTGTGCCCCAAACTCAGTGAACTGTATCAGGAGCCCTGGCTTCACGTTTGTAACATCAGCACTGACCAGACACATGGGCAAACTCAGGAAATGCTTTGTCAGTTATTAACCATGCTCTGGGTTTTTAGAATATTTCATAGGAAGATAATAGCGCTTCCAACTTCCCATCTAAAGTTAGCACATACTTCCTAAACCAGTTGTTTCCTCAATATTTCTAACATACTCTGATTTTCTGGCAGCTTCTTACCTACCTCCTGAATTCAGGTATCGCTTCCCAATATGCACAATGGGGTATCTGTCTGCCAGCCGCTTATCTGGCCACAGAATGCCATCTGCTGCAAAGACGACTTTGTGGTTTGACTTTTGGAACTTCTTTAGAACTTCCTCTGGGCCGCCAGCTAATACAACATCAAAACTGTTTAATGAAAGAAAAAACATGTTTTAAAATATTTGTCTCAGAATTAAGGCACATAAACCAAGAAAAAGGCCCTAATGAAAAATCAAAATTTAGAATCCAACACAGCATTGAAACCATCCATTCAGTGAGCACATTAAACAACATTTAAATTAATTTAAAATTCAGATTTTGTGAACTATATTCAATCTTAGTTTTACTGTACATTAGGAAGTGAAATACAATTACAAGATATTTTTCTTCGTAATAGACAATATTTTTTAGATAATGACTTACCTCCAAAATAAAAGTTCTGAATCAGTGTGGAAATGTTACAATTTACTTACTTTAGCATATAAATTAATGACACTGACATAAACATCTATAAACGTTTTTATTTCAACACTCTAATATTTCAGTTATATTTTTACTAATTCATTATTTCTGAAAAACTGATATCTTTGACAAATATTTTCATCAATATATACTTAATGATTTATTATGTAATATGCAATCTTAAAATGTGTTTGGACAAATTCATCCTTTTAAAGTTCAATAAATTTGAAACAAGGTAAAAATTAGCTATAATTGAAGGTCTGCAGTTGTGCTGAATTTTTATGGACTTTATTTTTCAGATATAAGTCATAGGACCACAACTTAACGGAAAAGTAATTGCAAAAGTCACTGTCAGAAATGTGTCCTCTCTGCAAAGCTCAGCTTATTACAACTTCAGATTCATCTGTATTTGTTTTCCTGACAGTATACTACAGTGCCAAATGCTGTAAGTTGAGGCTGATCTTGGTGAGCAACATGGCTCCCCAGCCTTGAGGACTGCGAAGGGGCTCCCCAGCCTTGAGGACTGCGAAGGGGCTCCCCAGCCTTGAGGACTGCGAAGGGGCTCCCCAGCCTTGAGGACTGTGAAGGTCTCCCTTCTCTATCTGCTTCCTAGGAGGACTGGGAAAACGTGTCCAGGAGGCAAAATGGCCGCTCCGTCTGCCTTTTCTAACTGTTCCTGAAGGACCTGGTTACTGTGCAGAGTTGACAGTTGTGAATAAGGTAAGATTTAGTAATTTGAAGTTTCTTATGAATTGTTTTATCACAATAAAACACATTATTGCTTATCTTTCTGCTGCTAAAAGAACGCCAACAGAAAATTTAAAACTACGTTAGCAAAAATAATGTAGGTTTATGCACTCCATGCAGGCTAGTGCAGAGGTGCTGACTGCCTGACTCCCACATCTCACCTTTACTTTAATAATGGCACCTCTCAAGTATAAACACAGGTGGGGCGCAGCTCCATGCACTGTTTGCCTAACATGCAGAGACCATCGTTTTGATCCATGGCATGGCCAAAAAAGTTGCAGGAGCAATTTTAGGGAGTGAACTTTTTTGTCTTTGAAACTCTAGTAAAAAATGTAGGCATAGACTACATTTTTCCAACTACTGAACCAATGGCTTGTAAGGGAGGAGTTATGGTAATGTTCAGTTTGTAATGAAGCATTTTATTAAAAAATGCATTAATTTTAAAATACAATTATTTTGCGAGGAGTGGTGGTACCCCACCTTTAATCCCAGCACTCCGGGCAGAGGCAGGCAGATTGTGAGATGGAGGCCAGCCTGGTCTGCATAGTGATTTCCAGGCTGGGGCTAGGGAGACCTTGTCAAAAGAATAATAAAATTGAATTTAAAAATACAAAAAAAATACAATTATTTAAGGTAGATTGAGAAGATTATTTTCATACACTTCAAGTAAGAATATTACTTTGAATAAAAATGAAGCAGGGCCTCATGTAGGCTGGCCCCAAACTCCTGATCCTCCAGCCTCCACCTTACGAGTGCTGGCATTACTGACAGGTGTCCCCTGCACCCACAAATAAGCTGAGGCTGGTGAAGGTTTTCACATTTCATTGTAGCAGAGGTGTCAGTCCTGTGTTTAAGTTCCTCGCAAAATAAGTTCTTTGAACCTATTTAAAACTTCCAAAAAGGCAAGAAAGTTTTTCTACTTAAAATTATTTGAGCTACAAATATTCAAATAGTCAATTTTTTTTCAAAAAATGAATGCAAAAAGGTTGTAAAATAATTCTTAAGGGAGCTCAGCCCTTTTTAAAATGAAGAATAAAATGAAACTTTCCATAATTTAACTATGGTAAATATTTCCAAGTCCTGCAAAAACCGTAAGATTCCACCAGATGTGTCAGGGTTCTGTCTCCAACAGGTCATTGAGACTTTTATGAGTGTTTGTCCTTCTGTGCTGTTTCTGTGGTACCTTCAATCACAGTCACCAAGACTGCATGAAAATCTGCTATTCAGCCTGGGTTAGTCTTTCCTCAGGACAAATCCCATCAAAAGCTACCAGATCTAGATTCCAGCTACATCTGCTTTATTCAGCATTCAACCCCTCTCAGTAGATGAAAGTGTCCTGGACTGAGTCACAAACCCTACAGGCCACATAACCCCCTCCCCACGAGCCCTCTCCAGTTCAGATGCTCTGAAATTTCCCTGGAAGTATGAGCAGTTTCTAGCTCTGGCCTACCGCAGGAGCTGGCAAATATTTACACCGGCCTCTTAGAGAAAACAGTTTGGAATTTGAAGGCCACAAGCTCTCTGTCAAATGACTCAGTACTGCCAGGCTGGTACGAAAGCAGTCACAGACAACAGGTAAACAAAGGTGCGTGGCTGAGTCCCAGGACAATGAATGCTTGGCCATATTAGGCAGTGGATGAGCCAAGTATGAATTCCAGGCCTATAGAATAAAGTCTAAATGGATCAGGATCATGTTAAAAACCTCCACTAACTATCCTGTTCTGAAACCAAACTGAATTCTATCATGTGATCATGTCTGTCCTCATAATGATCATCGCTTAGCAGTGTTCACAGTGTGGCCTCCTTCTAAGGCCATTTCCAGCACCACCTCATCCAGACACCAAAACTGCAGAAAAACATCATTTTCTTCCTCTTGACTCTCACAGCTTTTCTGCTGCCTGTCCACCCAGATGTTTTATTTCCTGCACCTCATGCTAAAATCCCTACCTTACGCTGGACTCTGTTTCCTTCTCCCCCTTCATCATCTGTAAAACCTCTTAGCTGTGGATTTTGAAGATACTCATATTTGTTGAACAAATGAGTGAATCAACGATGACATAGTCTATCTCAACAAGAAGTAAAAGCTATGGGGTGGTCAGGAAACAAAGAACAGAAGTCTCCTCTAGCCTGTTTTCCCTCCCAAATCCTCTCTAGCCTGTTTTCATTCCTCACCATGTGAATGCTAAAGGAATCGGTACAGTCATCTGCACTACAAGCAGTCAGTGGCCAGAAGCTGGATAAAGTCCAATGATGCTGGGACACAGAAGCAGCACCACAAATGATAATTCTGCAGCTTCTCCCATCTCCCCCTCAAATGCACGCTTGTATTTCCAGAGACCTAACTCCACAAAACAATAATATGGAGCCTTCAAGTTCCATAGTAGAGCCCCCACACACACACACTTGCACATACACACTTGCATATACATGTGTGTGGGCATACATCTGCACATATACATACATGCATGGGTACACATGTATGCACACATTTATACATAGCCCTGCACACATCTTTGTACATATACCCATATACATACACTTGCACATACAGATTTTCACACACTTGAACATACACATGTATGCACACACTTGTATGTACAGAGGCACATACACATTTATACATAGCCCTGCACACATCTTTGTACATATACCCATATACACACACTTGCACATACACATGTATGCACACACTTGTATGTACATAGGCACATACATTTGCAAGTACACACATACACATACACATGCACGCACACACTGACACATACATATATGCACACATTTGCACATACACACATACATGCACACATACACATATATGACACACAGACATATACACACTTTAACAAGTTGAAAATGCTCACACAGGTGACACTGCAGAGTAAAAAAAGAAACTGATCATAAAAAGTTTAGGATTTTTCAAAAGAGGAAAAGAGGTAGCTGATTAAGGACGCACCATTTTAAAGGTCAAATATTACTTGGTGACTATTGTTCCAATAGCATGTAATTTCACTTGCAAGGTATGCAATCACTACTGAGGCTGAGTAGAGACGTCAGTGAAGCCCTGCCCAGATGGAGCTCACCTCCTGCAGACCCCTTCCAGAGGGGCCTATATGCACAGGAGGAGCCAGGAAAAGACCTGTACAGGTCATGATCATCTAAATCCTGGTTTGTTCTTTTAATTTATAAAATGACAAGATGAATTAAATGAAAATTTCTGTCTAGTCCTAAAATGATAATTAAGTTTATCTCTGAATATAAGAACCTTCAAATCTGACGAATATTTAATACAAAATAAATATTCATTCACTCATAAAGAAATAAGAAATCTTTCAAAACCCTTATATGTTACATATATATGAAACTGTTAAGAGAAAAAATATGACTGTTCATGAAAGAAGAGCAAAACTGAAGTAGACAATTTTGTTTAGGAATACACATCCATGCACACACATACACGCACACACACGCAACAGTTTCAGTAATCACACATGAGCATGCCTGGTGAGGACCACCTGCTGACAAGCACCTGGATGCACAGCATGATGTTGAGCATCGGCTTTCCCTCACTGTCACATGCCTGCCACTGTACTCACTAGAACCGAACCATCAAATGCTAACGAGAGCATCTGAACAATGTGAAAAATGGAAAGTTGCCCGTTTGCTACTTAATTTATAAACATATTTATACTGCTCCAGACGAAGCTCAAGGCAGTGCAATATGTTTAAGGATAGCTAGTAATTTCAATCTTGAATAAAGAATGAATGAAACAGTATGAAAACAAGGGCCCATGATATGTTTTGGCTTTGTTCCTACTAATTTAACAAGTACTGTCCATCCCTAATGACAAGGTTCTTTGTGTCTTCACACTTGAGCTGTCACTACCGCCAGAGAGGAGACATCACCAAATAAGCCTATTTGCCAGTTAAAATTACAGACA